TTCCCAGACCCCTCCAGCCCTTGGCAACCAAGCGTATTAGAACGCGTAAGCATAAGGTATGTTAGTAGCAAGAAGTGTAAGCTGATCGGGAAGATCAGCAAAGCATGTTTTCTTTCCAGGAACATCGTCCCTTCATTTGTACTGATGGATATCCAGGCTTCCACCGTTGTCACTTATGTGTACCAACTAATTGAGGATGATGTGAAAGTAGAAAGAATTGAGTTCAAGAAGTACTGAAGCGTGGTCAGACCTGCTTGTTGACTTCTCACCGCCTTTCATTCCTTCTCCTTCCAGTTAAGTCGAAGTGGAGGCAGGCCACGGGGGGGTGCTGCTGCTGCAGCGGCGTGTTGGACTGTGAAGCAGCCAGGACACTTTCTGGCTTGGGAGCCTGTAAAAAAGCGTTAGTCTTGGTTGCGAACCCCAACTTGAAGCAGAAGAAGCTGCTGATTAAGCGAAGGAGGCCTGTGGACAATGTCCTGTGTCTAAGGAGGGGCTGCTGTGTTCCTGGCCTAAGGGAGTCCCAGGGGGTGGTGGCAGCTTGGCATTGAACCTCTTCTGTAGAACGAACATAGAATAATAAATCCCCGTCTTCATGTGTCCGGGTCCTATTGATTATGCTTCTGAAAGGTGAAGGGGGGCTGGAATTTGGTGTGAAAGGGGGCCGAAAGGAAGCTGCTGCTTGCTTCCTGAGACGCAGTCCTGAATCACTTTGGGGTCCGTCAGAGAGACCCAAGGAGCCTAACGGCTTCGGCAGACCCGTCCCACCTCCTGCTTAGGAGCAGCACGGAAAGGCAGAGGCAGGTCTGGGAAGGGTGGCGTGGAGAGCTCTGCGCGGGGGTGTGGGGCTGGGCAGGCTGGGCGTTTGCCCTCGTGCTCCAGAGGTAGCGGAGCCAGGGCGCTTTGCCTCGTCCCCGCGGTGCTGCTGAGAAGTGGGAGTGTCTGTGCTGGCGGAGCAATCCTGGCCCCTGGCCCGGGAGGTCTCGGAGCACCAGCCTGCAGTGGGGGTGCGCTGCGGGCTCATGCTGGGCCGGCTGCGGGCACGGAGCCCC